TTGTATTTATTGTTTTTGTAAAATAAAAATCTATTTGTTTCTTTATAATATATATAATATATATATATATATAAATTAACTCTGGCCAGGCATTTAGTTTGCTTCCATGTGTTTTTAGGTTCAATTTCAATCATCAAAGTTTTCGTGCTTAGCAAAGATTGTGGGATTTGGTGGAGGCCAGTTTGGAACTGGATTCTTGGGATTTTTGAGATATCCCAAATATATATATATATATATATACACAAACACAACAAAATAAATAAATAAGTAAAACAAGAGAACAAGAGAACAAAAGGTTGATATATTTATCTATGTTGATTATCATTATTTTGACAAATAAAATCTAAAAGCATGTGGTATCTTACTAACTGGCCTCGTAGATTCATTACTCTGAACTAGTGAATTTAGGATAATTATGTAATTGTCATCACTGAATCTTTTGGTGTTTTCTTCAGATCAGTAAAGTTCATTGGAACACTATTGATTTCTTTATCTTGCCAAGGAACTAAGTTTTCTTTTACTATTGGTTTACAGGAGTTGAGGCCCTTAATCAGCCTGAACCAACATGCTGAACTACGTAAACAGGAAGTCGGCCATTTCAATTTATTGATGAAGATGAGGTATTACGTATTTTTAACCCTTTCCAATGTTGTTATCCCCTTCGACAAAATAAATATTTTCATGGTGAATATTTACTCTATTTGATAGTCAGTTTACAGGATTAGGTTTTAAATTGCGCAATCGGGTATTGAGGCACTTTTGATTTCGTGAGGAGAGGCCTAAGCCTCAAGGCGTTTTGAGGTGTAAGCCTCAAGGCGTTTTGAGGTGTAAGCCTCAAAATAAAACCATGAAATGATTCAAAAAATGTGAAGAATTAAGCATTTAAAATAAAAAATGTTAAAATCATATCTTTTGGTTCTATTTTTAATTTTAAACTAATTCAAAATTAATTGTTTAAAGAACATAACCAAAAGATATGTTTTTAGTTGCTATTGATCTGTTATCCTTGAGGCCATTCTTTCTTTTGTGCTCTGAAATATGAAATTCTAATGTCTATTAGTTTACTTTACTCCTTTAGCGTGTTTAATAAGTTCTTTAGGTGGGACATTATCTTTTCGTTCCTTTAAGATATACTTGTTTGGATGTACAAATCTGCAACTTTTGCTCGTGTTCGTTTCCTTGACCTAGTTTCCAGCTCCTTAAATATTACCAAACAGTTTTTTAAGAGGCTAAATTGGCTCCCAAGGTGTTCAGCAATAGGGGGGGCAAGGCTAGCCAAAGATTAACATGTATTTCTAATCCATGCTTGGAGTACAGAAAGACGAAAAGTTGAAAAACTGATATGATAAATTAGCTGTTTTTGTTTTTTTGTTCCTGGTCTGTCAGAGGAGAACTCTCCCTCTGCTTTCTAGTGTTCCTTTTTCAGATGAATAATATTCTCATTTCTTTTCAAAAAAAAAAAAAAATCCCTGTTTTTGTGCAAGGTTTTTCCTTCTCTTGGTTTTCCTTTGTGCCATTACTGAGGATTGACATGTGAATAAATCTGGTGCACCTTGATTACTTGATGGATAAAGCTTTGGTTGTTAATATTGTACAACAATTAGAATAAAGGAGGAGAATTTTCGTTACCATCTTGTCATGCTAGTACTAACTTGTAGGAGTTGCAGATTGTACTGTGTTATTTGAAAATTAGGATTACAGATGGTTAATTGTGGTCCTCTTTTTTTTTTTTTTTTTGGTTCTTTTTTGCATATGTCCAGGCACCAGGTCAATCATTTTGTATCTACGCTGCAGCAGTACGTAGAGTCACAACTATCACATGTATCATGGTGCAATTTTCTTCACTCCCTTCAACATAAGGTAGGTGATAACCATTTGTAGTCTATTTCAATGAAGTTCTGTTTCTTTTCAAAACTAAATAAATAAATAAACAAATAGATAAATAAATAAATAACAAATACAGTTAAACTAACCAAGTTTCAATCATTTTATATCTAAGTCTGTACTTTTGGTATTTCTTTCCATCTCTTGCTTAGTCTCTCTTTTTAATTGTGAGGACTTCTTGTTCTCTTTCCTTTTCTTTTTGTAAAGTTGTTGTGTTCTTATTTAACAAAGAAAAAAAGTTTTATTCCAATATAACATGCGACACATGAAGTATTTTTTATTTCATGTGCTGAAATGCATGTGATACTTATTAACCATCTAATAATCTAGTGATAGTCTGGCACCCTCCAGAATTTCTGAAACGTCAGTGGAACAAGGAATACAAGTTTCACTTGAAATTAAGAAAGATTTCTCTAATTTTGACATATGATAGATATCAAAAAAATTATGACGTTGATGATCAAAGACAATTAGGCCTCGTTCAGTTCGCGGATTCAAGTTTTGAATTCGAGCTGAGAGGTGATTTTATGTGAGTGCTTTTCATTGTAGAAGAAAAAGTTAGATGCGACTTTTTGTGAGAGCTATTAACTGCAGCAAAACTGGAATTGAAAACTCGAATCGGTGAAATGAACGAGGCCTTAGTTTCTTGATAAAAAAAGTAGAGAAAAGCAATCTTTGCAAGTTTCTAAATGTTTTGTTTTACTTCTGCCAATGCTTACGCATTATCTTCGGCACATATAAGTTGGGGGAGGCTACGGTGTCGTAAAAACTGAGTATCCTATTGTAAGGGAACTTGGTTTGGAGTGGTCACCCCTATGACTCCCAAGGATCAGTTCAGGTCTTCGTTTTGGTCAGGGGCTGGTTATAGAAGAGTTCATTTAGGGAAGGTTGCTGTTTTGGCTGTTTTGCGGGGTGTTTGGTTGGAAAGAAACTGTATAATCTTTGAGGGTCGTGAGGAATGCTTTGTTCTTTAGGATCGCATTAAGTTTAGATGTCGCCCTTTGGGGCCATCAGGACAAGGATTTCAATAGTCTTTTGTTTTCTGACTTTGTTAGGAATTGATGAAGATTGCTCGTAATTGTATTTCTTTTCTCTTCATAATATCCACATTACAGTTTTTTTTCTCCCGCAAGATTTGTTGCTCTTAGATTTGATTTTGGTTTATGCAGGTCAGAGATATGATGGATCTGGAGTCGGTGCATATGGCATATCTAATTGACTCGCTAGACATGTAAGTTCAATCTCGTCATTGATGTCATTATTCATTTAATGCTTATATGTGTCTGTATACTTTGTACAGGATCAATTTAGGGTTCTGACATCAGAAATTATGTGCAAGAATTATCATTCAAGAAAATCAAAATTCACATGAGAAAAGGCAATTTTAGTATTGAGTAGGGAACCTCTAAGGGGTCATGGAAACAGTAACACAAGGGGTGTGTAAGGCATATGGAAACAGTGCTGCAGAGTGTGGGAAACCACCATTTGGTGGCGAAAGCATTGGTTTCCAACATTTGGACACCACCATAGTAAAGTTATTTAACCATTGTGTTGATCATTTTTTTTTTTGTGTCCTATTAAATTGTTTCTTTTTTTTTCTTTTTTCGGGTGCAATCCTACATCACAACGTACGGACACGCTAGTTTGGTTCAATAGATCCCGTGTTGCTCATTATCTTCGTGTTCTGTCTAATAAGGGATGACTTGAAGTCTCCTGGCTTTCATAATTATCCAATTGTCTTCGTGACTTGTGTTATGAACTTTTTATCAGTTTATGGCTTATGGTGTATTGAAGCCGCCGCTGTTCTTCCCTGTTGTTCCTTTGCTGGTTAATCTGTGTTTTCCATCTTCTTATACAACTGTTTAGTTTTATTCGAGTGTTGGATATATACATATATAGGGATATAGTTGCATACCTATTTTCCCCATTTTTCTTTGATTCTCAGTTGATTATATCTCTGCAGATGTTTTCTATCAAATGAAGCCCGGCCTGTAGCCAGAATCATTGACAGCATTTTGCAGTGTTCATTAGACTTCCGGTCTTGTCTTAGAGGAGGCATGTGGGATGTTGGAACAAATGAAGATCCGGCAGGAAGACTTTCTAGAATCAATGCATCCCAGGTGATTCTCATATTTGTCTTGTATGAACTAGTACAATTGATTTATCTGTTGACGGTATCACAGATGGAAAATACTTTTAGGGACGTGTTGAAGTTATACTTGCTCTAATTTGTTAAGAGCGTCACGCTTATCACAATAGCAGTATGAGTTATACCAGTGATTATTGTTAGGAGGAACAAGAGATGGCATTGTCTGGGCTTGATACTCGAAATATTTCGTTGAAACTTAATTGAAATCAACTCCTTTCATGCTATGATTTAGGCACTGATTTTTTAATTATTTTTCCCCCAAAATGGAAGATTGAGGAACGAGATTCCTACTTATTGTCAAAGCCTAGGCCCAATTTTGTGCAGCTCAACCATTGAGGGTATGTTTGGTAGTGATTCTTGGAGCCCAAAATCAATTCTCTAGCCATCCACAGTTGAAATTTGTGTTTAGTAAAACCCATAAAAAGTTATTCTTAAAGAATTTTTGAAGAATTTACAGTCAAAATCAGAAGCAACCCAAAGGCAACTTTGACTTTTAGATTGTGCGGCAATCACCTTGAAGTACAAGTAATGAAACTTTCATAATACCCCTAGAATCAATACTTGTATAATTACAGTTTATCAAACACTCAGTTGCTAATTGTAACAATTGTTTTTTTTTTTCAGCACAACTACAATTTTTCTAAAATCTACAGCACTACCAAACTAGCCCTGAATCTAGAAGGGATATATTGGAACAATTTGTTACTAACCTATGAATTTCCCTGATTTCTAGGTGCTTGCCATAAAGAAAACATTTGAAAAAAATCTCCAAGAGTTGCACCTTTGTTATCTGAAGTCACCTAAACATGAGGAATATGGACTTTCTCGCTTTTGGGGATACCTCAACTACAATGAGTATTACTCGGATGTCGGTAATGAGATGCGGTATTACGCTTTCTCACTCTGAACCCTTCACCATGCTGATCAAAATGATTGAACTGAGTTTACATATAGTTAAAACATATAAGCTAAAGTGTTGCCCCTGATTGCTAAGAATTGGGTAAAATTTTGAAGAACGGTTACAAAAGCTGTGCCTAGCTGTTTCTGATGAAATGTTTTCAGCACAGGCCATTATACTCAACATGCGCATGGGATTCTGTCATTTTAGTTGTTCTTGGTTGGTTCTAGTGCGAGTGCAAGTAATGTGTGAGATCCTCATTTCCTTTGAGATTTTGTCCGAGGATCAAATATTCAATGTGTGATTTACACGTGTTGGTCTTGCCGCGATTTAAACTATAGGTCAAAAGGAAGCGGTGAATTTTAGTTTTGAGGAAAAGAGGGGCAGGGATGTTGAGGGGGAAAAAGTTACGTGGATTAATTGTTGTGTTGATAGTGTAGTAGGGAACTGTTTATTAACTCAAAAATGTATTATTTGTACAAAGAAGCTTTCTGGTGTAATGGTGAATACTGTCATTTTAGTTGTTCTTGGTTGGTCCTGGTGATTATTATTTCCCTATCTTTTGTATAGACAAATTAAGGGATTGCAAGAAAGATGCTAGTCTCCAAACATTATAATCAAGATTTTATATTTAATGTAAGAGCAGCACCCCTTGTAATGGCAATCAAAATTAGTGCTAGTCTAAGGTAGATTATTATTATTATTTTGTTTTAGGATAGTGGAATTCCTACTTAACCATATATGTAAATGTTTTATTCTCATTTTCACTTAATACTATGTTTTGGCTGGAATGGAGGGAAAGATTTCTTAGAATGGGTTTTTTATTCATTAGTTACTTTTTTTTTTCTTTTGGAATTGGTTTTAGTCATCTAATTGAGGAAATGATTTTCTACTAACAATTTACCAAGGACATCAATTATTTTGGACGATAAAGCTTCCGGTAGGGCCCGTTCGGTTCGCTAATTCGAGTTTTTAATTCGAGTTGAGATGTGATGTTGTGTGAGAGCTTTTTACTGTAACAAAAAAGTTAGATGTGATTGTTTCTGAGAGCTTTTTACTGTAGCAAAACTCGAATTCTAAACTCGAATAACTGAAAAGAACAGGGTCTAAATTATCGCAAGGCAAATCATTAATGCATCTTTCTGCTATTCTCACATGCATGGATGAAAATGTCGATGTGGATGGGATTGTCAAGGTTTTGATTTGTGGATAATGTCGATAGAAATGTCAATGTCCACGGATATTCTGAGAAAAAATAGATACTTTGAAAAAATTTTAAATTTTTTTTATTAAAATTGTACAAAATGCTAAAACAATCAATATTACTTAATTTAAACTACTTCAATAACAAAAATAATACTTTTTTTATTAGAATATGAGTCATGTTGAATAGTATAGTAGGAAATTATCATAATTATATATGGATTATGATTCAAATATAATTTTACATACTCATTATAAACAAGGCACAATAATTCAATATACTACATAGAAATTAGCTAACAAACATAATAGAGTACACACAGACTTAAGTGCTTTCAGTACCAAAACGAGTTTCTAGTAGGTTAGAAAGTATTAGGTAGGTTCTAATTTTGATCTAAATAATATATTTATCAAGGTAGTATCCTTGAATAATTCTAGGTGTAGTTGATATGCCACATGTATGTTTCTTGATCTCTTCTCATTATTAACCCATAATTGGATACTATTGGTTTATCGAGCTTGATGACTAGTCTTCAGGGATGTATAATTACACTTCAATACTGATATATAGTGAATGATACACTAATATATTATAGGTCTTGAATTTTTACACCTTATACTTAATTAATACATTTTAGTTAAAAAAATTATATTAATCAAAAAGACATTACCAAAAATGAAGGATAAAAATTTTAGAACAAGTTAGCTCACCAATTTTCTCTCTTGAAATTTACTTTTGGATGTGTAATTAAACATACAATTTATCATCATCCTAATTTTTCTAGATTTACTACAATTTTTTATAGAAGCCGACAACAACTTGAGATATTTCATGTAATTATCTTATGAAGGTATAGATAATGAAGACATAAATTTGCCATGAAAATTAGGACATCAAGTTTAATTTTTCTTTTCTATAATTTTTCTGAAAAATTTGGATTGACCATTATGCGTTTGGGAAACATATGGGCGTTTGGATTTCTTGGAAAACAACTCAAAACAACTATTGAACATCTTCCATTCTAATCCTTGCTAGATTCTTAATCCAACTTCATGCAATGATCAGAAGCATCGTCGGCGCAAAAATGCATTAGTAACGACGGTTTCGTTTAATAATGATATAATGCGTTGACACGATCCAAGGAAGAACCGCAACCTCAGATCGCAATGTCCTGATAGAAACTCGTAATTTTCATAATCAAATCAGCTAAGCATGGTTGAAGTTGTGACTAAACCAATATCCTTACCGAAGATTTAATATCAAGTATATCTTCTTCTCCAACTGTCTTCCAAACCCCGCCTATCATCAGTTGCCCATCAAGACCTTCCAATATGGAGACATCCTCTCCCCGATTAGATTCAAAATCGCCTTCAACTGTCAGCCGTCTCTTCTTGACACCAGAGCCGTCTAGCAGCGCAGGAGTAGGCCCAATCGCTTCACTATAACAGTTGAATTCCAAATTTTCTCTTGCTTGCTGAGTTTCAGAATTCTTCTTCTGGTCGCCTTTGCAGTCGAGAACAGGAAGGCATCCAGAAGACCCCACAGAATTAGGTAACATGCCAATTGGACATGGAATCCACGACGTTGAGACGGCCCACCTTCTCGAATTTCCCATGTCATCATCTGCAGCATTTGCTACTTTCCTTTTCATTCGGAGGTGTTTGATCAACTCAAGCTTCTTAGCTGCTTGAGAAATGGATTCATCTCGCTGGATAAGACTCTTCGAATTGAAGAGAGAGGACTTGTCTTCGATAATTTCTGAATTTGATGAGACTAGGGAAGAGAGTTTGTTTAGTTTCTTCATTAGATGGTTGCATCCAATCAGCTGGGTGATATACAGGGCAGAATCCATCAGATGCTTGTTTCCTGGAGCCGACAATGCGAGGCATTTTCGTAGCAGTTGCATCAGTAATGCTTTTGATATCGTTGATTCTGCCGAGGACGACTTTGTCTTAGCTGCAGAATCTTTATGGCGGCGAGGCTTTAATTCCTTGAGGATTTGAACAAGCCATGCAAAAAGAGAAGCAAGGTATTCAACTCGACGAACATCTCGGCCGTTGTCAGACAATGTAAGACATTCTGTCCCTAAAAATCCACAAATGGAAGGGGAAATATCAATAGAAAGAGGTCTTAAAACTGTCAAATTGCTTAAATTTTGCAACGCGTGATTTGAGATGTTTTCCTGAATAGGACCAAAAGAAGACAGATAAAGTGTCGCGCATGACACAAATTAAGTTGGTAATTACCTGTTTCATACTTCATATTTTCATGACTCTCAATCACATCAAGAACTTCCTTAAGAAGAGCAGCGAGGACTTCTGGCTCCTTGTTTGAAATCTTTTTTATAGGAAGTTTCCATTCATCCAACAAAGTCTCTGTGCTTGGACCAATCTCAGCATCTACCGAAGGCTCCATTGAGTGTGAGGAACTTAAAGCCATTAGCAAGAGGTCCAACAATGCAGATACAACTTCTGAGGAGCAGGAGGAAAACAACCCAACAAGATGTTTTATGACCTTTGTGATCTGTTTCTTGTTACCTGAAATTTGAAAATTAAACAAAAATGCATAAACATACTTTTGTAATAGATGCAACGGACTTCTATTCTTATGAGACTAAAGTTAAGGGTGTCCGAAAATCAAGGCCATATAGCCTGATGAAAGACTATAAGATACTGGTTTGGAAAGCAGCCAAAATGGTTTCTTCAAACCCGATCTAAGCCTCATGCAAGTAACAGACACATTTATCAATCTGAATTTTCATCTGTAAAATGGTTCTGTGCTACTTCCATTTTTAGACAGTTTTATAAAGTTTTAGGATCGTCTTGAGATGAATAGCTTTACAGCCAACGGCAAACTGAGATATTTTGATAGTTGAGATCGAGCCGGTCCAAATTTCCTAAGCTTGGACAAAGATTTGTGATTCTACTGTAAAATGACTGCAAACTAAGGCCAAACCATTTTAATGGCAGAGCCTGGGTTCTTGATATCTAATCAAGTTCAACAGATTCTAACAAAAACACAACGCTTTCTTATTTACCAGTTAACTTACTGCACAAAAGGCTCATCTTATTTCTTTTTTTTGTTAAGATTTTAATTGACCTGCTGTTTCAACACTATTTATTAAACATTAAATACAGTTTACAACTTTAAATTATCCATAAGGAGACTCCTTTTCAGTAAGCAAATCCTCATTCTTTGGTGGTTGATGACTACATACTTTACACGTATGTTAGGATAAGCACAGTAGGCCGCATATTTTGGAAATAAAAAGATTCCATTTTGAAATTATATGCCGTACTCATAGCGAAATGTGACTGCATAAATATTTTTGCACATGAAAACTGCGACTATATTTCACAAAAGCTTAAGAATTATTATGTGAAAAAAAAAAAAAAAAAAAACCACCATGCCAAAATCGACCAAGTTATAAAAGATGAGCTATCGGTTTCACCTTCAGATTTAGATGAGCGGAGTTCTCCAGTTGCAAGTGAAAGAAACTTATTCCGCCCACAAAGCAAATTGAAATTTCGGCCACCTATACAAGAGTGAAGTTTTATAGAATTGAAAATCTACTTTAGCCAAACCAAAGGTTTAAGTAGATTACAGCCAAAAACGGAGGTTAAATTACCGAGGGTACTAAATGTTGTTGTTGAAATGAGAAGAATGCTCTTTATGCAATTTGATTGTCAATTTAAATTATGCATAATATGGAAAGTAAAGGGTTGATAGGCTATGGGGAGATTCTTTAAACAAGGAAAATGAAAAGAAAATGGAAATATTAATATCATTAACACAGCTCAAAGAAAGAACTGAAGAGAAAATAACGCTTACGTTTCCCTTTCAATGGTGACGAGGAAGATTGAAGACTCTCCTTAGCATTCAAGCAAAAGGCCAGCTCGTGGAGTTTAGACTTAATTCGTTTTCTGATCTTAGTAGTACTGTCACCCTGAAATGGAATTGCCTTCTTCTGAGGTTCCCAGTAGTAAGATTTCAACCAATCAAGTGCCTGAATCATCAAAACCAGAAATGATATAATAGCTTCCCATTTAAGCAGTTAAATTCTGGCTAACTTTCTAAACATCATGCAAATTTGAAACTTAACAGAAAGCAGAAACTGGTAATATTTTCCCCTAGAAAACAAAACTTACAGAAAGCCTGTGGGTATATTCAAATCAGTTGTTCTTGGGGACGGGGAAGATTTTTCTGAACATTAGGGATTTATATACCAAAGCAATTCCAAAAACTTCAGCTATTATTTCGCCGCAAATCGATACCAAGAGCTACTTTTCACTACAAGATACAATTGCACTGAATCTAATAGATGAAATAACTATATTCATTCACACCATGCACAATAATTTCTTATTGAAAAACAGATCTAAAATTGGAAGGAAGCTTTTTTCCTTTACCCAATGTCTACCAAAAAAGTAAAACTGATTGGTGACGGCAGTATTTATGCAACAGAAATCATAACAACTATAATTAGGAAAGAAGACTCTGAAGTAGCAATGTGCCATCAAATACCAAGAAGGAAACTTACTGTAATTGAGGCACCACGGACTATCTGAAGTGCAGGAAGCTCACGATGAGATCCCTCTACAAACACACCAATGTAAAGGGAAAGAAAACGAAAAAAAAAAAATAGACACAAACAAACAAACATCAGACTTATCGGAAGGGCTGTTTAAAAACTACAAATCAACAAGAGAAAACCATAGGCATTGCAATCTTCTACAATTGTTTATACTACGTCAAAATGAGGTGCTTAAATAATCTAAAAAGTTCATAGTATTATAGCACTGTGTTAATTGTGTTTGCTTGAAGGAAAGCGACATAAACAAAAAGGATGGAGAAGTGGGTAGTTGAATTCCCTTACCATGGCGGATATCAATCAATGTACGTGGCATGCCAATTGCATTAGCAGCCACAGCAATTGAAACCTCTTGTTTCTTTCGTGTCTTCTCAATAACACCATTGACAAGCCTTCCAAAGGAAAAGAAACATCTGAACCCAGTAGCAATACTAGTAGTAATAGAATCTTGTGTAGAAATATAAATACTAAGCAAAAATTAACTCTATGCACAACATGATAACCATCAATTGACTCTCGTTTTGAGTGGCAAACGAGTAACATAGCCTTTCTCTTTACTAAATCAAACAAGCAATTCCATGAAAACCATGGTTTAAAAAATCGTGGATAACTCTTCCTCCCTGCTCTCAGTTTTTTTTTTTTTAATTAATAATTTTCGGTTCTTTTCAAAAAAAAAAATCATACGCCTCGAGGCGCACCTCAAACTGAGGCGGCCATTGGGCAATTCAAGGCTACGTTTTTTACCCCCTGAACAAGGCTTACGCCTTTTTTGGATTAGGCGTACGCCTTGAGGCACTAATATCAAACATCTAGAACGTGATGGGAAAGCATAAAAATGATAAAATAAGTGTCAATATAGTATATACTTTGAAACAAACTTTTAAATGTCACAACACTGACGTTAGCTTACATAAGCACCTTAGACAAGCTTTCCAATATGTCATTAGTTCTAAGTAAGTTTAATTTTTGAAAGATATAAAAGGATTCCCACCTCATGATTGCCATTGAATACAACATGGCCAGCATTTCATCTGAAAGAGAAACGTTGACACATTGATTTGCTCCATCTTCAACTGAAGTAGCAATATCTTGGCCCTTTCTACAATTTAACGAGTAAAAGTATATCACTTCATGAATTTGTAGCCTTATCAAATCAAAATACACGGTATCTTACGCCAACTAAGTTGGAAATCAGAATTTTGAAAACAAAAACTATATTACAATATTGATTGAAGACCAATAGCAAATATGACATGTAAGACAACCAATGAAAGTTAGAGACATGTCCCAGTTATCTGAAACGGGAACCAAAATCATTACCTAAAGTAAGGATCTTTTTGTTGAATTTCAATGATAGATGCCGTAACATCGACCGTAACAGGAAGGCATCCTCGGCTTCTCCATGTTGATATCTGAAATGCAAAAACATGAGACTTTCAATACGTACACTGAAGATGTCCCGGGCATCATTACAATAAACTACTTTGCGGGTCCTGCCATATTTTACAGAAATCAAAGGATATTGGGCCTAACTCATCCTAGTAAAACCGGCTTGCTAGGGGAGGATTGCCCTCACCTTATCAAGTGGATCATGCCAATATCTCCAGCCAATGGGGGAATTCTAATATGCCCCCTCACGCACAGCATGGACCATGCCAAACTGCTGCAAACAAGTCAATATTGAGGGACTCAACATTGCAAAACTGGGCCTGCTCTGATACCATTTTATAGAAATTAAAGAATATTGGGCCTAACTCACCCTAGCAAAACCGGCTTGCTCATGCCAATATTTCCGGCCAATGTGAGATTCTAATACCATAAACCGATGAAGGCTAAATAACAGAGTAATGGAGCACTAGAATGTGAAATAAACGATTCTTAGAAGCAGAACTGACTAAGCTTTCTCTTTCTACCTCTCTAATCATCTTATATCTCTCTTCAGTTCCCTCTGCACTTGTCTTTCTCGCTAACCGAACTAAATACAAAAACTGTAGTGAAAAATCAAACAATTGCAACTACCAAGCTACTCTATTTTCCTTGAATAATGCAAACTATTTCTATAGGAACAATTTCTTCTCATTTCACTTCACTTATTTCCATCTCAGTCCTCTGCAAACCCCAGAAATCTTTTGTTTCTCACTAAATACAAAAACTTTATGCTAAACAAAACTACCTAATTATTGCAAGCTAGGAACTTTAACTTGCTAGTGCTTTCTATTCTATAGGTGCAATTTTTTCTCTTTGTTTTTTCATAATGCTAAATTTCCAGCTTGCACTTCTCTCCTAAGTTGATGCTCAAGTGGGTTTCCATCGGTTTTTTATTTTTTATTTTTTTGTGCTTGCTTTTCGAACGTTTGGCTATAAATGCGCGCGCGCGCACACACACACACACACACATATGTATTCGGTGTCTTACCTTTCTGAAAGCGGAGGCAAAAGCTTCATGAGAATCAGAGAAGAGAGAATCGTAGACGAAGAGCCACTCGTCCCAGCAAATCCAAGGCACCAATTTGAGGCCATAAGAAGAAGACTGCGACAACGATGACTCTTGGCATTCAACCTCTCTCTGCACTTCTTCGAACGCCAAAACTGATTCCGTCATTGCAACTACAACGAGATGAGATTGGGGATTCGACTGGGCTTGCGACGCTGCAGGCAGTGGCGGCAGTTGACGACGGCGACTTGGCGGGAAGAGAGACCTTTATCGAGGTTTCAGGGTTTTGGCCCCCTTTTTAAGGAGATCTTTAGTAGGTCCTGAAGAACTGAATGAATAAATAAAATTTAAGAGAATTACATATACAAAGCTTTGGCGTATATGTAATTCAGTACACCATGGCATAAAGACATTCACACAGGAAATATAAAGTTCAAAACATCCCCTTAAGCCCATTAAGTTAAGAACCGAAAAAACTCAACACGAACTCTTCATTCCAACTAAAAATATATCAAAAGATAAAGGAAAAAAGAAAAAACAACAAAATGCAACAAAATCCTTTGTTCTCCCTTATCAATACACGCTTGAGCATGTCATTCAATAGTGGAGCAAAAAGACTAGAGTAACAATACACGCCATGAAAATTTTATCACGAAGATCACAATGCATACATTTCAAAATTCTACAGGTTCTATAAAACTAAAATTACTACTTTGTCTCAGTGTTTTTTTTCCCCTCTAACAAGTAGGTTTTTAGTAGTGAAACTTTTTTTTACAATATGTGAAATTTTTCTTCAGTAATAATAACCCAGAAAATATTGTCCAAATAGATTTGGTATTCTTACTCTATTAATTCCTCAGCGCAAATATTTTCTAAAAGCTAGTAGACTCAATTGTTTTGTGCAATAAATCAACTCAATTTCTCGAGAAACAAACACCCTGTAAAGTTCGGACCTTTTTGCGCATGAGACGGAACTCGCTGGACTTGAACTCGGTGCGAGAAGATTTCTGGAGGCGGAGCATGAAGAGATCACGCTTGAGATCGATAATCTCCTCGTTGATCTGTTCGGTTGTCTTGGATCGGATTTCCTTGAGTTCCTCGTCTCTCTTCGCCATCATCACCGCCGACGAAGGCTTCCTTGGGGAGCGGAGGAAGGGAAGACGAAGGGGATAGGCGTGTTGGAGTCTGAGTCCGCCATTGAAGAAGGAATGTGAAGAGTTTGGGAATGGAGAGAAAAGCTTTGGAGTGAATGTGGCGGTTGAAGGTGAGGAGGCAATAGAGATAGGGCTCAAAAGATCTCGGAATTAAGATTCCGTTTAGTTCGCTGATTGGAGTTTTTAATTTGAGTTAAGATGTAATTTTATGTGAGAGCTTTTTACTGTAGTAAAAAAATTAAATGTGATTATTTATGAGAGTTTTTTACTGTAGTAAAACTCAAATTCTAAACTCGAATTAGTGAAATGAACGGGACCTAAAGATACGTTTAGTTCTAGAATAATATAATTAAAATTATTTTTAATTTACATATATTTTTTTGTGAAAAAAAATTATAATAAATTATGAATCATAATTTAGGGTCCGTTCATTTTGTTGATTCGAGTTTGTAATTCGAGTTAAGATGTAATTTTGTGTGAAAATTTTTTACTGTAGTAAAAAAATTAAATGTGACTGTTTTTTAGAACTTTTTACTGTAATAAAACTCAAATTTTAAACTCAAATCAACAAAGTAAACGAGGCCTTAAATTTTTTAATTAAACATCCTCTAAATTTAAAATAATTTAAGAGAGAACCTAATTTTAGTTAAACACTTTGATCACGTACTGAAAGACCAAAATACCCTTAAAGAAGATATTTTTGTCCGAACCTAATTTCTTTCCTTCCTACCTCATGCATTTATCTCTCTGCATCACACTCACTCTCTCTCATCTTCCTTCTCTTCTCTATCTCTCGGCAGCCGTCAAAGAGCCACTAGGCGGCGAGCCTGGGAAAACAAAGCAGCAAGAGGCATGCCGAATCTTGAAGCGCCACCACAGAACCCAGGTAGAAATATCCCTGGAGATTCGGGGTCGGTGCAAGAGGGCGGAGATTCAAGGGGCGTCCGAACAGCCAACTCCTCCAAGGAGGATTCAACCAAAGATTCATTATAGTAGGAAATAAATTGGCAGGCAAAAAGAGGCGCTAAAGCAAAATCCCAACCTAGCTCGAGGCAGTCCAAAGGAAAGCCTCGACCTGGGGGGCAGATGTTGCGCTATCACGTCAGAGACGGCCGACCCTTTTAAGGAGGAGAGACCTTCAAACAACCGACCCTTCTAAGGAGGAGAGGCCTCCAGATGGCCGACCCCTCCAAGGAGGAGGGGTATCCATGAGGCCGACCCCTCTAAAGAGGAGAGGCCTCCATGAAGAAGGTTCTTAAACCTGCCAAGAGCCCCAAGGGGCATCCATGAGGCCGACCCCTCCAAGGAGGAGAGACCTGCATGAAGAAGGTTCTTAAACCTGGCAAGAGCCCCAAGGAGCATCAATGAGGCTGATCCCTCCAAGGAGGAGAGGCCTCCATGAAGAAGGTTCTTAAACCTGCCAAGAACCTTAAGGGGTATCCATGAGGCCGACCCCTCCAAGGAGGAGAGGCCTTCATGAAGTAAATTCTTAAATCTGCCAAAAGCCCCAAGGGGCATCCGAACGGCCAACTCCTCCAAGGAGAAGAGGCCTCCAGACGGCCGACCCTTCCAAGGAGGAGAGGCCTCCAGACGGCCGACCTTTCCAAGGAGGAGAGGACTCATAGGAAGCCGACCGTATAAACAGGTCCACGTCTCCAGAAAGGCCCCTGAGTGAACAAGAGAGTTACATCTGGGTTTAAAGAATGTCAGTAATGCAGACATTAATTACAAGTTCATAAACCACCCTTTAATGGACGGTGGAAGATTAAAGTGGGATGTACATAGCCGCAATAGGGGACAAATTGGATGAGTAAACAGTGAAAAAAGTGGTGACAGGCTATGAGTCTAGGCTCATAAGCTAGTAGGCCACTCAAGTGGATGGGCCTACTAAGAAAAACCACTCCTGAAGTAAACTTAGGCTATAAAAGGATGGATCTCTCTCTCGATCTTCTTCTTCCTCTCTCTACGTGTAATTGGAAATGAGGATTTTTGACTATTTTTCATATGTAATCAGAGAATAGAGAGTTGATTCTATGTAATCTAAAAAGAGCCCAAGAGAAATACAATACACAAGTGAATGTAACTCTTTATTAACAGAGTGAACCACTATAAATTTTGTATGTCCTCTTATTCAAGCATTATTCTCACGTTTCTAAAAATATAACAAACACTTCACAGTATTAATTACACTTCTACAATCAAATTTATAGCCGGTAACCCAACGGAATACCAGAGGGTGATCCGGCGTATTTCTGTTGACGAACTTTCCCTTAACGTCTCTCTCCTCTGCCGACGATGACTAGTGGAATAACGACGTCGTTCCTCGTCGTCACTCCTTGTCGTCGCTCAAGCCGATCGATCTTCGCAGGAATCCGATCTAGATCCAAAGCAGCCGAAGAGGAGATCGATTCCCCTCGTGATTCGTGCAAAAAGAAGAACGGTCTGTCGCCGACAAGATCCAGATTAAGAACCACGGCGACGTGATCTGTAGAATCCAGCGGTGGGTCTCCGACGCTGTCATGGTTCAAGATCTGGATCTGTGTCCTCGTCCTTCAGAGTCACCGTCGCCATGGATGGCACCGGAAAGGTTCTTCTTTTATTTCAATGTTTGAAGATTCTGCTCTGAATGTCAATCTCTGATTCTCTGTTTGTGTGTTTGGATTTTCAGATATTCATTGCTCGGAAATCTTTTTTTAGTGTTTTGAAGAAAATGCAATAAAGAGTAGAAAAAGATTCAACTTCATAGTTTGTTCTAGTTATGCTTCGAAATTATAGTCTGATTGATTTTTGAAAGTACCATAAGCAATTACACTCTGTTTATATCATCATTCAATGCTTTGGGTATTAAAAGTGTTGAATTGTTATCCTATTTATGTTTTCTGATTGATTTTCTCCTTTGCTGTGATTGCAGTTTTTTGTTGGCGCAAACTGGAAGTGTGTAAGTTCTATCTTCTGAAAAACATTGTGAATTTATCTATTACATTAATTTTGAATTTGGTGAACTCCGTTTCCTTTTTATATATTAATGTTTTGTTGTAACAATAGTGACTTTCTCAATAGAACATGAAGGTCAAACATAATTTTTTCTTTGACTGGAATGCTAGCCATGGATTTCAGTTTCACAATGTTCTTCTTTCTTTTCCACTTGTGCTTATTTTGTTTTTCTTCCTCCCATTTAGAATGGCGCAAAATAATCCATCACCAAGCTTGTCTCTGACTTGAATAGTGCGAAATTGGAGAGTGATGTTAGTAAGCTTGATGTTTTATGTACAACTCTATTGCTATTAGTAATGTAGTAATAGACTGCACCTTAAGCTTGTTCTTAGATTTTGTTTAATTTGTGAGATCTCTACATGGTCTGTGCTTAAGAATTGTTCTTCATGAATAATTAGAAAACTAAGGCCTCCATCATTTTATCGATTTGAGTTTTCAGTTTTAGGTTTTTATAGTTAAAAGTTCTTAGAAAATGTCATATCTAACTTTTTTTGATATAGTTAAAAGTTTTAAAAAAATGTCACATTTTAACACGAATTAAAAACTCAAATCTACAAAGTGAACTAGGCCTAAGCTTGTGTAAATTGGAGAATCTTTGAATAATACAGGACTAACATTGTGTATGTATAATTTATTTAAAAGAACAAAAAATGGATATTTATTATTATTATTATTATTTATTGCTTTAGTGGCAAGTCGGATTTTTTTTTTGAAGGGACATATCAGATATTTGAATTGTCAATAAGGTGTGTCCCTTTTTTGGTAGAAGATATTTTTTATGTAGTTTTTAAGTAAGTGGTGGATGATCTCACGCGATATCTTCAAATTTTGCTCGAAGAATGAGAATCCTTTCTCTCAAGTGTCGAACCTTAGTGGTGGATTTTTGTTCTTTTTTCTTAATGAGGATTTTTATCCGGACAAACTATGACCGGTCGGCGATCGGAGATTGTCAGCCGCCATAACCTGTCAAACTAAGGGTATAGTTTGACACTTTATGGATCATAGTCTGAGAGGTTATAGTCTGACAAACTATAGGTGGTCGGCCATTAGAGACCCGCTGGCCATGTAACCGAACAGACTATGAATCATAGCTTGACAAACTATTGGTCATAGTCTGACAGACTATGGCCGGCCAGTGATCGGAGAGGCGCTGGTCGTCATTACCTGTCAGACTATGGGTCATAGTTTGACAGTTTATGGATCATAATAATAGAGACTATAGGTCATAGTCTGATAGACTATAGATCATAGTCTGATAGACTATTGTTGTCTCTGGTGTAACTTGTCAGACGACCCATAGTCTGACAAACTATGGCTGGCTTCGGCGCAAGGGTCATAGTCTGAAAGACTATGGGTGGCTAGTCCCAACGTAATCTATCATACTATGGTCAGCGAGCTTCCTAAGACACGCCAGACGGCCGCCAGAGACCCCACCTCTTGGCGACGATTGGAGCATTTTAATAATCTACATATTGGGTCTTTGATTGGGCTTAGTCTAAAGGGGTAGAAATAAAAAGGTTATTGTTTTGGGATTAATAATAGTTTGGTAATCCATTTTGAAAAATAATTGTTAAAACCTTTCTAAAATTTTTATCCCTGTACTTTAGTCCCTTAATCAGTTTGGCCTATTAACTTTGAAAACTAGCGAGAAAGCCCTCTCAAACTTTGAAACGTCAAAAACAACCCAACATCTATGTAATTGAAACGTCAAAAACAACCCTACATCTATGTAATAGAATAATAATAATAATAATAATAATAATAATAATAATAAATAAAATAATACTAAAAACAAAGAAAAACAAAAAAAATGTAAATGCTTAACCATTTCGTGCAAAAACAGAGTAATGTAGAGTCCGTTTAGTTCACTGATTCGAATTTTTAATTTGAGTTGAGATGTGACTTTATGTGAGAATTTTTTACTGTAGTAAAAAAGTTTGATATGACTGTTTCTGAAAATTTTTTACTGTAGCAACTCGAATCGATGGAATGAATTAGGCCGTAGACTCCTACCGTCCTGTCTTTTTTTTTTTTTTTTTTTTTTTTTTTTATTTTAGAAAAACCAAGCCAGCACAAAGTTAAACTAGTCCTTATAATATGCAGCAAACAAACCAACTTTTTGGACAACTCTCACCAAACCCAAATTTCAATGAATAAGATTACTCATCTACTCATAAGTCTTGATGTGTCCTCATTTATTTTATAAATTCAAATTACTGTACAAACTTTTTTGTTATAGTAATTTCTCTAATAAAATTTAAATTTATGTTTAAACCTATAAAACAAAAACAAACAAAAAAACTCTAACCTTTAGCATTTATAGGCCTCGTTTATTTCACTGATTCGAGTTTTCAGTTTTACAGTTAAAAGCTTTCAGAAAATGTCACATCTAACTTTTTTGCTACAGTTAAAATTTTTTAAAAAATGTCATATCTCAACTCGAATTAAAAACTCAAATCCACGAAGTGAACAAAGCCATAGTACACAGCCAACATAAATTAGAAAAAAAAAGAATTTGTTATTGTTTTCTAAAGCCTCAAGAGTCAACCCTATTTAGCATAGTCCAAACATCAAAAAACCATTGATTTTCCCGACCCTCACACAGAAACTACCCACGATGAACAAAATAGAGTTATTTGGTTCAACAATTTAAATCATAGAGATTTGAATCTTTTTTGTTAAAACTATAGAATTTGAATTGTTTGTGATTTTAATTATAATTTGAACCAATATTTAAAAATGTAAATAAATTATAATTTAAATTAAAAATAAAATATCTCGTCCTCTTCAGAAACCAATGTAATCATGCCTACCTCCTATTTGAACTCACGAAGAAGTTGAATGGAGTTTCAGGATTCCAATCTTTCCAACTTTGGGGTTATTCTTTTGGAACAAAACTCAGAAAAAATTTAAATTCGAATTACAAAGTTCATGTTCTTTTATAAAATTTGAGTTTGAACTCGAATTTGAAGCTAAACTCGAGTTCAAGTTTTTCCTTCAACTCGAGTTCATAAACTCAAACTCAAATTAATGAACAATATTTTTTCTATTCTTAAAAATGTCATAACTTTTTCGTTTTAATTCTGATTGAGATGATTTTTTTCTATACATTCACAACAAAAAGATGAATAAAACCCTACCCATATATCCTATTAAAATTTTTCATCACCATTGAGTTTTTATTAAAATACTATATAAATACAAATTTAAGTTTTGATCAACCCAAACACAAACTCAAAAAGATTCTCAATTCAAATCATAACTTAAATATGCACATCTAAACACAAACTCAAGTTACAACTTCAACTCAAATTATAACTCAAACTCAATTTAAAATCATCACTCAAATTACCTTATCTCAAAAATGTAAAAGAAGTTGAATGGAGTTTCAGGATTCCAATTTTCCCTCTTTGCCTCTCAAGAGTTTGCACACGAGGCTTAAAATTCGGGGGGTTTTTTTCTTTTTTTTTTTTTAACCACAAAATTGATAGCACAGGAAAACAAACACCAATTGCAGTACCACATATTTAATTATATCCTTACCCCATATTAAAATTATTTACGTTCACGTCAGCATTAGATTAACGGCTTTTAACAGAAATGGGTAAAAGTAATAAGGTTGTGCCTTAGGATACTTTTTTAAAATTTAGGGGACAATATATTTTATATAGTTTTAAACATAAAACTCAAAATTTTTTCTTTTTCAGAATTTGATTTTACGTCATTTTTAATAATTACATTTCATCGTGGTTACTCATTAAATATAAAAATTTGATTAAGAATTTAATATTATTAATTATCATAAATTTTTTAGTCAACTGTTCAATTAATTACAACTGTTAGATCATATTTTATAGCTAAAATAATTACACCAATTAATGAATAAATGCTAGAATAACTATTAAAACTATACTCACATTGCATGTATTGATAAGATGATAAGATCAAGCAACCCTTACCAACCAACCTTCGTTATTTTTCATAAACGAAAATATCAGTTACAGATTTACCCATTACTAATAAAGATGTAAATCTCCATTACTCATGTCAAACTAAAGCAATCAATGGCTAAGATTGACTCTGCTTGGATCAAGAAGTGAAACTAATATGGTTATTATCGTAATTTAATATGTCAAGTAAACAAAGTTAAGTTTAAAAAGTGTCTTTGTTATTTTTCTAGTGGCCTTATTATAGTGATATCTCCGTGTTTTACTAATATTATAGTGACACTTTATTGATTGAAATTAATCACAGAAACATGCCTTAGTCTATACTCATTCTTTATTTTTCATAAAAAAAAAAAAAAAAAACTAGTGACACATTACCCATTACTAATTAAGGTGTGAATCTCCGTTACTCAAGTCTAACTAAAGCAATCAATGGCTAAGATTGACTCTGCTTAGGTCAAGAATTGAAATTAATATGGTTATTTTCGTATTTAAATATTTAAAAGTAAGCAAATTTAAGATCAAGAAGTGTCTCTCTTATTTTTCTAGTCGCTTTATTATAGTGACACTTTTTGTGTTTTACGAATATTTCAGTGATATCCTCGTATGAACTCTGTTAAATTTACTTGAGAAATGTCAAAACCACCCTTCATATTATGACTTATTCACTTATTTTGGATTATGTAATTTTTTTCCTCTTATTTTGGATTCGATCTCTATCATTTTCAAATATTACACTTATAAATTGTCCAATAATGTTATTATCAAAAGATGGTTTTTGAAGAACAATGGAACAAGAAAAAACATTTTTTTCATAGATAAAAGAATCTACTATTTGAGTAATTTAATATTAAAGTGTGAAAATCAATTGAACTCATTTTTTTAGTGTTAAGTAAAGGTAAAACTGACATTTTTAACATTATATAGCTTAGAAACATTTTTTTAATATCCAGAGGGGCATTTTTTGGCATCTTTAAAAATTTAACGGTCAAACTAGATTGTCAACTAATGGAGGAGGTGTCAATGTAATTTTTTTTAAGGGTTAAAGGGTGTTAACGTGATTAGTTTTGATTAAGAAAGTGTCACTATAGCATTGATAAAACACATGTGGTGTAAGTGTAATAAGCTCTTTTTTAGTCAATGACATGTGTCTATTGTTTTGATAAGATAAAGTGGTTGTCAATCTAGTTAATCTTAAAAAAAGGAGAAATAAGTAAATAACATTTTTACAAGTATATATTAAATTTTAAAAAATATTTGAAATAAATAATACTAAGTAGCAAATTAACTAAGTTATTTATTTACTTCTACTAAATGATTTTTTACCTAATATATTTGCTACTTACTCTTATAGTCTTATTTAGTTCAAATATTTTTAAATCTTGTTATGTATTTAGTTTAGTTCCGCAAAAAGGTTATTTACTACAATTTTGGGCAAGAAAAACAGATATCATACTTTGCAGGACTTTGTTTTATTGACGGTTTTTTTTTTTTCTTATTTTAACGAAAAATTCTTCACTAGTTAAGAATTTTGTTGAAAATGACAAAAATTAATGATATAGGGATAGCAGCCATCAACGGTGTCCTTTTTCATGAAGAGGAATCATAGATTATATATCCGTTTGGTTTATTGATTAAAATCATGTGATTATAACCATTTTTTATTTACGTGTATTTTTTGTGAGAAAAAATACTGTAGCGAACCATAAATCATGATTCGAATCAGGGAATGAATCCCTCTACCAAACATTACTGTCAATAACTAGTCAATACTTTCATGAAATGGCGATTTTTAATTTCAATGAAATGACTATGTAAGTGACGTACACGAATCAAAGAAATTCTAAATTAGAGTAGATGATGTTAGTTAACACTTTGACATTCTATTTTGTTTTTTTGTTTTTCTAAATGACTTTGACATTCTATTTTTAGTTAAATCATAAACTTACGTATTAATTTTCAAATTGATGAGTTCTGATGTAATAACTAGTCAATAATTTCATATGTTAGATATTTAGAATATAAGAACAAATGACTCTTCTAAGTGTTCTTTTAATAACTAGCCGAAGTTTTTATAAAATTAGGGAACTGAACGTTTTTATTTATTTATTAACTTAGTGGTTTATGATTAATTAACTTAGCAGTTTATTACTTATTAGTTGTAGGTTATCATTGATTAACTCCATGATTCTTTGTTATTAATCAATAGCAATTAGTAATTAACCAAAAACAGTTAGTAATTAATTAATTTTAATCAACAAATTACATTAGTAAATTAATAATATTAACTACTACAGAAAAAATACTATTTTCCTAAAATAAAAAAAAAAAACTCAGTCATTTCTCTAAAAAATAAACATTTCAACCATTTATTAAAAAAATTAGTCAAAAACAGTCATTCACCTAACTTTTCATTGATTTTTAGCAAATTAAAAAATGAAGAATTTTATGGTAGGTTATTATATATATATATATATATATATATATAAAAGTCCACGAGCATGTTTGGTACACAATAATACAGTGTTTGACAATATTAACATATCATATAATTTAATACAAAATTCAGAGTTAAGACAATAAATAGGGTGACATTAATGTGGAAAAAACTATATATTAGAGTGTATTGTACAATTAATCTTAAAATACCATATTAAAAACATATAAAATATATCATAATACTTGAGATCAATGTCGAGGTCAAGTTTAAAGATTAGAGCGATGTTAGGTTTTTAAATTATATTTTGACCTCTTAATTTTGTTCCTTTATTCTAACGATAAATTCTTCACTAATTAAGAATTTTGTTAGGTCAAGTTTTTTTCCTTTATTTTCCATTTATTTTTTCTTTTTTTTATGAAATGGCGATTTTTAATTTCAATGAAATGGCTATGTAATACGTACACGAATGTAAGGATTGTAAATTAGAAAGATGGTGTTGCTTAAAATGACATTCTATTTTTATTAAATCATAAGTTTGCCTATTAATTTTAAACTTGATGAGTTATGATATAACTAGTCAATACTTTTATATGTTGATCTTTGGCAAATCAAAAAATAAGAAAAATTTCGGGATAGATTATAAAAAAAATACCTTACGAATTTAGGATAGAATAATTTTAAATAGTTGAATTGCATAAGAAATATATTAAATTTAAAAGAAAATATAATAATTTAATATGTTTCAATTTCAAATTATATCTTATCACAGGCTCGTATTATATTTATTCATAAGGACATTTCTTCAAACACCAGCGTAAAAATTCTTTAATAACTAAGCGCTTTATTGAAAAAAAGAAAAAAAAAATGACAAAGAAGGGTCATTTTATGGTGTTTTCATGGCATCCGTATCAGTTCATATGTTTAGCATAGTTTTTGCAATTTTAATGTTGAAAGTTTGCAAATAAATCGTTCATGTTATTATAATTTAGACAACTACAAGATTTCAAATCCAAGGTTTTTTATTTTTATTTTTATTTTACATGAAGTCTGAAAATTTTAATATAAAATGTACAAATTATTGGGTGTGTTTGAAGTTGTTTTCATGTTTGTTTTTCACGTTTTCTGAGAAAGAAAAAATGAAAATGGGAGAAAAATGGCGTTTGGTATACTTAAAGACAAAAAATGAAAATGAAAACGATTTTTTAATTTAGTGTAAAATGAGAAAGAAATGAAAAGCGAATTTGAGTTGTTTTTCATTTTTTATTTCCGTTTTCTCCCTTCTCGAGTAGAGAGAGAGAAACATTAATAGATTTTTTTATATTGAGAATAATCTTTTAAAAAAATTATCAAACGCATTTTTATTTTTGATTTCTGTTTGAGATTAAAAACGTTTTTATTTATATTTTCATACAAAAAATAAAATTATTTTAAAACGAATTCCAAACTCATCCATTATATTTTCGACCCGGTACCACATGTCCTTCCCAACTATAAAATTTCCCAAAAACGAAGGGCTTGTTCTTTTAGAGTTTAATTTGAGTATAATTATTGAGTTGAATTTGAGTTATAACTTGAGTTGAACTTGTAACTTCAGTTTGTGTTTGGTTGTGTACATTTGAGTTATGGTTTGAGATAATAATCTTTTTGAGTTTGTGTTTGAGTGAGTCAAAACTTGAATTTGTATTTAGATAGTATTTTAATAAAAACTCAATGCTGATGAAAAATTTTAATAGGGTATATGGGTCGGGTTTTATTCATCTTTTCATTGTCAACGCATAGAAAAAAAAATCATCTCAATCAGAATTAAAACGAAAAAGTTATAGCTTTTTTAAGAATAAAAAAAAGATTGTTCATTAATTTGAGTTCGAGTTTCTGAACTCGAGTTGAAGGGGAAACTTGAACTCGAGTTTTAGTCATAAACTCGAGTTTGAACTCGAGTTTAAACTCGAGTTTAAACTTTAAAAAATATGAACTCAAATAAAGTTGTAACTCGAGTTGCATTTTTTTGAGTTTTTCACTCAAAAGAACAGGCCCGAAATTATGATGGAGCCTAGAATGTTGGCCGCCCGTGCTGTCCTGCTCATAAATTGATGTTGTAATCGGCCTACACGTATATTTAACGAGATTTTTTGAATTAAATAAATATTTATTAATAAGACACTTTTTTTCTCCGGTTAAAACACTTATTTTTTAGGAGCTTTTCTAATTGGAATAGAAAAAATAAATTATCGTTATTTTTTTATTTTTAACTGTTAAATTGTTATTAAAAGTTGTTTATTTTATATATTTTTTTAAAAAAATTATAATGAATATCATATTTTTAAAACTAAATTAAGTATAATATATTTGAAAATTATTTAAAGTACATGGCAATTTGAGTGATAAAATTAATCATTTATCGTATAAATAATTCATTTATGACTAAAAAATAACTTACTTAATAAAAAATATTAAAAATCTTTATTTACGTTGAATTTTTTTTACTAGTCGTAAAAAGAAAATATATATAAAAAATATTTTTACTAACTGTAAATGAATTATTTACACTAAGTGATCTATTTACCTCATAAATTATTATTTATTTTAAATAATTTTAATATAATAAAATTTATTATTTATTTAATTTTATTTTATAAATATACTAATTATTATATTTTTTTATTCTAATGTAATTTTGACACTATTAATGACTTTTAGTAATACTTTCATATAAGAAAAACTCTCTTTTTTTAATTGAAAAAAGATGTTATATTTTTTATTTAGAAAATTTTCTGATACTTTTATTTTTTAATTGTTAAATTTATATAAAAAAAAAATGCATAGATTAGCGCGGTAAACGGGAGAAAGTGGGTTTTTATTTTTGGTAAATACTAAATAGACGTTAGGAAGATGTCACTGGAGATTTTGACATCAGCAGTCAATGGATAACTGCATGTGGACATTGTCGTTTTGACTTCTGAAAATGTCCGTTTGTAACAAAGGAATAATGATTAGTATTAAGGTACAAAAAAAAGGTTCAAAAGTCCGAACTTTTTTTTTTTTTTTTTTTTTTTGGGTCTCTCCTTTTGGCTTTTGTATTGGAAATGGCGGAGACAGAAACCAGAGCAAGAAAAAGCGGTAGTTTGGTTTTTGCCGTTAATGGAGAGAGGTTTGAGCTTTCACCTGTGGATCCTTCAACAACTTTGCTTGAGTTCTTGCGTTGTCAGACTCGCTTCAAGAGTGTTAAGCTCAGCTGCGGTGAAGGTTCTCTCTCTCTCTCTCTCTAAAGGAAACTCACTCTTTGATTGTTGCCTCTTTGTGGGTTGTGCTTGTTTTTCTTGTTTGTTTGCAGTCAGACAATAATTAATCGACCACAAAAGTTGGGTACTTTTTTTTGTTTCTCTCTTTATTGCATGTGGGTTGTGCTGATTTTGGTCGTTTATGTGGTGGATGAGAATAATTAGTTGGACAGAAATAATGGATTCTTGATATGGGTACGTTTTTCTTTGATGTGAAAAAGTGCTACTTTTTATTATATATATATATTTTAATTGCATTCATGTGTTTTCTACTTTTTTATGTTGACTGTGGTTGCTAGGTTCTGGAACTCTTGTAATGTTGTTCTTGAGAAATGTTCTATGTAATTAAGAAAGTTGCTTTTTGACATGTTATCTGGTTTCTGATCAATTTGCTTCCAGAAAGGGTGAAATGCGAATATAATTGAATGGTTATTTGTAGGTTGAGGAAAAAAATGAAAATAAATTAGCTAAGGTTGTGAAACTTGATATTATCATTGTTTAGTTCTTAAGATAACAAACCAGCATTAATGAATTCTAAGCAATCTGCATCAGTAAAATTTAAAAGTGTGATTTTTTGGATACAGATGTTAGTGTAACTAGGAATACTATTCATTCCCTCTTTGGTTTTCCTGGTGACAAATAGAAGAACTAGGATTTTTCATTCTGATGATTCTCCACTTTAAAAATTCTAGGAAAATCAATATTTATATACACACGAACACATAAATATCCTAAAAGAAACAATACTTCACAAGAAAAACATGAAGTACAAAGAACACCATAAAGGAGGACGAGGAGTCACAAAAATCAGAAGATTCCTTTCCAATCCGTGACGAAATTTGACATATTGAAATTACCAAAATCTTAGTCCTTAAACAACCAAATTGCAAGCCAAAGCTCACATTTCGAAGATACAATCTCTTCGAAAATCCTCTTATTTTGTTCTAACGAGATTGCCCAACAGACTCAAAATAGTATAGTTCCAAATCTTTCTCCCTCTCTTATTGAAGCTGCTTAGGGAAAAAGAGACAAACACATCCGAACATCTCAGAGCTAACATGGACACAAGAGGTCTTCTGTGCTGCAATACAACATGAGTATTTAACTTACCAAGAACAAGCAGCCAATTAAACACTTTCACTCTAGTAGGAACATGGGCCTCACATACAAAATAAAATGCTGGAAATTAGAGACATGAGGGGAGTCAACAATTTTGGAGAACAAAGATTTACAAGAGAATATACTTGAATACCCCAAATTATATATCCTCCATTCCACCCGTCCTTCTACTCCCATAACCTTCTTCAACAAAGCTAGCAACTCAAATGCTTGAAATCACTCCCTCTCCCTAGGATTGCTTCTAAAGTGGAGATCCCAAGACACAATACACCCGCGACTCCTGACATTCGTGCTAATAAAAAGAGGAAACTGGAGATGAATGAACATGAGACAATTTAAACAAATATGGGAAGGCTTGGGCAAAGGAAACACTTCGCGCCAAACATCTTCACAAAACCGAATTCTATACCTGTTCCCTTTCTTTTTTCTTTATTTATTTTTTTTTGGATATCCAAAAATCTCCCGACCTCACTTTGTGAGCTCGAGTTTGAAACTAGAGCCTTCTGCCAAACCCTACAATCTTTGGAAGGTAGGAAGCTATGACTTTTGTCGTCTATGTGCCCATGAGATGGTTCGAGCCCCATACCTTGTGAGAGCAAACCAAAGGCTTGACCATTCCAACCAACACCCCACAGGTCGCCCATTCCCAATTTGAGAAAAATATGTGAAGAAAACAAAGGATAACATGAGTAGATTGCAAAAGTTCCTTGATGCCAGTTTTTCTCCTCTTTTTTTAGCATGAGGTGAAACCCTTTCCAAGGATATCAATGTGTTACTCATCCTACTTCCCCCAAACCCCCCAGCAGCAGTTCTCTCCATACCCATACTTACTCTTGACGACTTTGTGCCAAAGTCTCTCTCTCGGTGAAATGGAGTGCCAAAGTCAATTAGACTTCAAAGGAAATCTCCACAACCACTTGGCCCATAAAGGCCATAATTTTTGCTACCAAATTGCCAATCTCCAAACCACCTCTCTTTTGGTATCTCCACTAACTCCCATGCTACTAAGTAATCCCGACCACACTCTTCACTTCCCTCCTGCAAGAAATCTCACATAGCCTTCTCCAATTTCTCCACCACTAATCAAGGCATTTTAAACAAAGACATATAATAGAGTGGTTATTCACCAAGACCGCTCAAATGAGTGTTAGCCTCCCTCCTCTTGACAAAAATGAATTTTTTCCATCCATCCAACCTCTTTTTAACTCTGCAAACAACTGAGTCCCAAAATTCTCCTTTTATAGAATTTCCACCCAATGGCAATCCTAAGTATTTGGTCAATCAACTTCCCATCGAGCACCCAAAAACAGGGAAAATGAATATTATTCTTGAAAAATTAATTGTTTGATGACTTGTTAATATTTTTATTTTGTCTAAATAATGGTTCCAGGTGGTTGTGGTGCTTGTGTTGTGCTGCTATCCAAGTATGACCCGGAGAATGACAAAGTTGAGGATTTTACTGTAAGCTCATGTCTTACGCTCCTCTGCAGTGTAAGTGGATGTTCTATTACAACATCAGAAGGCCTTGGAAACAGCAAAGACGGTTTCCACCCAATCCACCAGAGAATAGCTGATTTCCATGCTTCTCAGTGTGGATTTTGTACTCCAGGAATGTGTGTTTCAATCTTTTCAGCTCTTGTCAATGCTGAAAAAAAAAGTCAGTTGGACCCTCCTCCGGGGTTCTCTAAGCTGACCGTTTATGAAGCTGAAAAAGCTATTGCAGGAAATCTCTGTCGCTGTACTGGGTACCGATCCATTGCTGATGCCTGCAAGAGTTTTGCAACTGATGTTGACATAGAGGATTTGGGGTTCAACTCCTTTTGGAAAAAGGAAGAGAATAGGGAATTAAAGATAAAGAAGTTACCTGTTTATAACTTGAACAATGAGATATGTACATTTCCTGAGTTTTTGAAAGGAGAAATTAGTGCTACCTTGTCTTTGGATTCTAAACCGTCTAGTTGGCTCTCTCCTTCTAATTTGGAGGAGCTAAAAGACCTATTGAAAACTCATGATACTGAAAAATGGAAAAATACAAAATTAGTTGTTGGGAACACGGGGATCGGTTATTACAAAGAAATAGAACACTATGAAAGATACATTAACCTCAAGCACATACCTGAACTCTCAATTATTAGGAAGGATTCAACAGGGTTTGAAGTTGGAGCTGCTGTAACAATCTCCAAAATTATCAAAGCTCTAAAGAAAGACAACCAAGGTGAGTTACTCTCAAGAGGCAAGACTGTATTCGATAAAATTTCCAACTACATGGAAAAAATTGCTTCACCGTTCATCAGAAATACAGCTAGCATAGGGGGGAATTTGGTGATGGCACAAAGAAAACATTTTCCTTCAGATATTGCCACAATACTCCTTGCTACGGATTCCTTGGTAGAGGTGATGACCGGTCCCAGATGTGAAAAGATTTCACTGGAGGAGTTTCTAAAAGGGCCTCCGTTAGATTTTAATAGCCTACTTCTAAGCATTAAAATTCCAAACTGGGAATCAGCTAGAGAGGTTTCTCAGCATGACAATACTGTATTGCTTTTTGAAACCTATCGAGCTGCACCAAGACCCCTGGGAAATGCATTGGCTTATCTGAATGCTGCTTTCTTGGCTCAAGTTTCTCCCAGTGAAACTTGTGATGGAATCATAGTCAATCAGTGTCGGCTAGCTTTTGGTGCTTATGGGACTAAACATGCAATCAGAGCAAAAAGGGTTGAGAAATTTTTAATTGGGAAAGTGCTTAACGTTGAAGTTTTATATGAAGCTACTAAATTAGTAAGATCTACCATTCATCCTGAGGATGGGACTGCAAGTCCAGCTTATAGGAGCAGCTTAGCTGTAGGTTTTCTTTTTGAGTTCTTTGGGCCCTTCATTGATAGAACAGCTGAAACTAAAGATGGTTTATTGCAAAAAAATAAGTATACTCTGTTGGCCAAGGCTTCCAAGGTAGGAGATGATCCAGATCAGATTTGTCATGACAAAATTCCAACTTTATTGTCATCTGGGAAGCAGGTTATTGAACTGAGAAACGAATATTATCCGGTTGGCCAGCCAATTACAAAATCCGGAGCAGCTATCCAAGCTTCTGGTTTGTATGTAGGATTAAATTTGAAACAATACTTTTTGCTTGAGGGTTTACTAATTGCATTAAAGGCTTAGAAGTACAACCATATGAATTAACTTACAAATGTCTTCTTTGCATTTAAAGAAAAAAAAAAAAAAAAAAAGAACTTACATATGTCTTCATTTGTTGTTAGATTGATTACATTTATATTTAGCTTAATATAGTGTGTAAATGACGTATTTCTCTCTCTCTCTTCTCCGAGGAACTTTCTGCAATAACACATTTCAATATCATATTCTGTTTGACGATTTTTAGGTACAGAGCTAGCTTGAATCCTTTTTCCTATATTGAAGTACTTGTTTTCTTCACACCGATCATCTATGCAGGTGAGGCTGTGTTTGTAGATGACATACCTTCGCCAACGAATTGCTTATATGGAGCATTTATTTATAGCACTGAACCTTTTGCACGAGTGAAGAGTATAAAGTTCAAGACTAAAGAACAATCGTATGGCATAGTCAAAGTTGTATCTTTTAGAGACATCCCTCAAGCTGGGGAAAACGTGGGGTCCAAAACCATCTTTGGAACTGAACCTTTGTTTGGTGATGAGCTTACCCAGTGTGCGGGTCAGCCTCTTGCCTTTGTGGTAACTCCCTGCTTCCAGAATATCTTCTAGCCATTTAGTGGCTTCTCTTCCATTGACTGTAAACTTAAATGCAAATTTATGTCTGCCATTGGGGTCTAACATTCTGATCAAAACGACTTTGACAGGTTGCAGATTCACAGAAACACGCAGATGTGGCTGCAAAGTCAGCGGTGGTCGATTACGAAGTGAAAGATCTAGAGCCACCCATTTTAACTGTTGAAGAGGCCGTTAGAAGATCTAGTTTCATTGATGTTCCTCCTTTCCTTTATCCAAAACAGGTTGGTGACATATCAAAAGGAATGGCGGAAGCTGATCACAAGATTATTTCTGCTGAGGTACTTAATCATTTATTTATTTTTCTTCTTTGGTTCAATGTTTTGTATTCAAGTGCTTAGATTTAATCCTCCTCCTAATATCGACATCAATCATGTATACTATATATGCGCGCGTGCGCACGTACACAAGTCAAAAGAACTTAGACGGTACTAGAAAATAGTAATCAAGTGCTTTTATTTCCTACTAATTCATCATCCATGTAGAGCTATTCTCCATCATATGGTATAATGTGCTTTCATTTTTCATGACATTCAGCTCAAACTTGGTTCACAATACTATTTTTACATGGAGACACAAGCTGCTCTTGCTTTACCAGATGAAGACAACTGCGTGGTGGTTTATAGCTCAATCCAGTGTCCTGAATATGCGCACAGTGTTATTGCAAAATGTTTGGGTATACCTCAACATAATGTTCGTGTTATCACAAGAAGGGTTGGAGGTGGCTTTGGTGGAAAGGCCATAAGGGCAATGCCGGTAGGTATTTAGTTCGAAAAACCTTTTAGTTTTCTAAATTCAAAGTTTAAGATTAAAAGTTAGAAAAATTTGATGACCTGCCCATGCTTGCACAGTTTTGTTCTTGGGTTTTACTTATCCCAAAAGGCCTCATACATCAGATCACAATTTCCTTGCCTGTGAACCTTCACTTATAACCTTCACCAGGCGATGGGGGGCCTGCTTAGTTTATCTTTTCTTGCCTTATCTCACCTTGCCACTCCCTTGCTTTTGGTGGGTTCGATTCAAAGGATTATAGCTGTGACAACTATGCAGATGAATACAGTTCTTTCTTACCATAGAGAAAAACTAAGAATTATTTTTCTTTTGGGAAGACATTGTCTTACTCTAAGGACAAGTTTTCAGTTACATTTGATGAGTTCATTGTTCTCTTTAGTTGAAAGGATAAGCCAACTGCTTAATGATTTTCATATAAGTAGATTCTCTTGGAAGAAGATAATTGTGTGTTTTCTACACATTGTGTACTAACTGACAATAGTGAGTAGAGAATTTGAAGTCCTGAAAATGTGTTCACAGCATAGGGATAATCTTAATTACATGAATTCTATTAGCCTAATTCCATATTCCTCTCTGTTCTGAAATTTATTAATATATATCTAACCTGAATTATTCCAAGGCATAGATAATTTGTTGTCTGTAAGATCTTATGGTTACTCCCTCTGTCTCTCTCATCAATCCTTTTTTAGATTTATTTTGGAGTGTTTACAGTCGTACGAATCTCTATTACTTTCATTTCTTACCCTCAAAAGGCCATGAGAAAAATTTCACCCATAGAAAAATGTTACATGTACATTACTTGGAAAATATTTGATAATCCTCTCTCATGTGTGCCATCTCTCTCTCCCTCTCTCTGTGCTAAGGTGATTTTCTATATTTTATCAAAATGTAAGAGTCATTTGTTGCTTCCATGATGATTCAGGTTGCAACAGCGTGTGCACTTGCAGCATATAAATTACACCGCCCTGTCAGGATATATGTCAATCGGAAGACTGATATGATAATGGCAGGTGGAAGGCATCCTATGAAAATAACTTACAGTGTTGGATTCAAGTCAGATGGGAAGATTACAGCTCTACAACTAGAAATATTGATCAATGCAGGATTTACTGCGGATATTAGTCCAGTCATGCCATCAAATATGTTAGGTGTGCTTAAGAAGTATGACTGGGGCGCTCTCTCCTTTGACATAAAGGTATGCAAAACAAATCATTCGAGTAAGTCTGCGATGCGGGGGCCCGGAGAAGTACAGGCTTCGTATATTGCTGAAGCTATAATCGAACATGTCGCATCTTTCCTCTCAATGGAAGTAGATTCTGTTAGATACAGAAATCTACACACGTACAACAGCCTTAGATTTTTTTATGAGGATAGTGCAGGAGAAGCTCCGGAGTATACTTTGCCTTCCATATGGGACAAGTTGGCTATGTCTTCTAGCTTAAACCAAAGGGTTCAAAAGGTAAAAGAGTTTAATGTGTGTAATAGATGGCGGAAAAGAGGCATATCAAGAGTACCAATTCTGCATGAAGTGATGCTGAGAGCAACTCCGGGGAAAGTAAGCATTCTGTCGGATGGATCTGTGTGCGTTGAAGTTGGGGGGATTGAGCTGGGCCAGGGGCTTTGGACGAAGGTGAAACAGATGACCGCTTTTGCTCTCAGTCCACTCGTTTGCAATGGAACTGAACACCTCTTGGATAAAGTACGCGTCATACAGGCCGATACGTTGAGCATGATTCAAGGGGGATTTACTGCTGGGAGCACTACATCCGAGGCAAGCTGCGCAGCAGTCAGACTGTGCTGCAATATCCTAGTTGAGAGGTTATCTCCTCTTAAGGAAAGTTTGCAGAGGCAAATGGGATCTGTCACATGGGAAATGCTTATTGCTCAGGTATCTATTTGGATTTTACTGTTTATTTATCTGGTAATGATCAGAAGACTTGTACAAGTTATCCTTCTAACTTATGGAGTGACGAGTCTCAATCATAGCACATGTTCACTAGTACTTAGGCTGTGGAATTTATTTTTGGTTTATATTTCCGAACTCATCCTGCTTTTTGACTATGTGTTGTTCTTCAGGTGCTTGAAAAGAACTACACGAGAAATTTTCAATCCCTGACCAAATCTGAAAACTGAATATGATGCGTCTTTTTCCATCTCTCATGCAGGGCTACTTGCAATCTGTTAACTTATCAGCAAGTTCATATTATGTCCCCGATATTTCTTCTATGCGATACATAAATTATGGCGCAGCAGTGAGTGAGGCAAGTCTTTCTGACTGGCATTGTTTCATTGCCACATTTTGCTAAATTCTTTCTATCAAAGCTATGTCCATAAATGGGTGGCTAGAATTATCTTATCAAAAATAGTTTATTTTCTGAATTAGTCACATCTATCTCATCACAGGTAGAGGTAAATCTTCTGACTGGGGAAACCACAATTTTGCGAGTCGATATTATCTATGACTGTGGGCAAAGTCTTAACCCTGCTGTGGATCTAGGACAGGTGAGCTCGATGTCATATGCATAATTTAGATAAGCATTCCAGTGATATCTCCTCGGAAGTAGAAGTGTTATGGCAGGATGATTTCATACCCTTATTCTGTGTAAAACAAGTATCAGTCCACAATCTATATGTCGTTGCAGCAAGTATAAAAGATTTTACTGCAAGAAGAACTCTTGCAGAACTGCCACAAGATTTCGACCCTGGGTGAACTTTTTGTTTCATTCACCGGTATGCGCGATTGAGGTATTTAATATAAACTGGTTCTGGTTGGTTCTTGCAGATTGAAGGAGCTTTTGTACAAGGAATCGGGTTTTTCATGCTTGAAGAGTACCTGACAAATTCAGATGGATTAGTGATCTCTGAAGGTACATGGACGTACAAGATTCCCACATTGGACACCATACCAAAACAGTTCAATGTTGAAGTAATGAACAGTGGACACCACAAAGATCGTGTTCTCTCTTCAAAAGGTAATGTCTTTTCCATCAAGTGAACTTCTTTGATATATGGTAGCACCAGCCTAGAATATCTCTAGGTAACTCAAATACAACTCTTGCTGAAAAATAGTTGAAAGAAGTCAATAAGTTCAGAATATTAATTTGTTTTCTGGTTTGACTGCGTTGGAGTTGAAGTGGGAAAACAAGTATATATTGCCATATATATTACTGGGATAATGACAATAACCTTCCATGCGTTTATACACCATGTGTTTTTAAAAATGCTAAGCTTATTCCTCGTGTTTTCTAATCACACAGTTTATTGCCGGATTTTGTCAAAATTAACTATGTGAAAAGACTTTTTGCCTTGTATAAAAGAAACCATGCATTTAATTTTGAGCACAACAACTTTGTCTGGTATCGGAAAAATAAAACTTTCCAAAAATAGAAAAAAAAATATTAATTACCCCAGAAATGCCAAAAAAATGGATGATCAAAGTTAGTGTCTTCGGGGTTTCTCTCAGAGAACAATCATTTCTTCTATTGAGGGAATTGTATGTTTTTGTTTAGTTAATTTTGACTAAAATTTTTGAAAACACAAGGTATATCTTGCATACCAATTGAATACAAGTAAGGTTTTTGTTAATTATCCTTAGATTAAACGAGAAAACCAAATAATGTTGTAGCTATAGCATTACAAGTGAACAACTCAGTAAGAGTTCCCTTGGTACTAGTATATTATATTTGATGGATCTCTGTCAAGAAGCAAAAACTGAAACATGTTGTTGTACAGCTTCTGGTGAGCCGCCATTGCTGCTAGCAAGTTCCGTTCATTGTGCTACAAGGGCGGCCATCAAAGAAGCAAGAAAACAGCTTCATTCGTGGAGCAGTGTCGACGAATCGAATTCGATGTTCAAATTGGATGTTCCTGCTACTATGCCGGTTGTAAAGGAGCTTTGTGGGCTAGACATGGTGGAGAAGTACTTGGAATGGACTATAGGCAGAAAGTGAAAAGATTCTTAGACTGGAAGGGATAAAAGAGAAACTGCAGATGAATGTTTATACACAGTTCAAACCGTACACGTCTTGAAAATCAAGCTTCAACAATTACTTAATAAAATTTATTTGATCACTAGTTCTGCTTTATATATAAAAAAGGTACTATAAACAAACGTAGTGGCCGTTCTTGTAAAATGTGATATCTAAACTATCTTAGAACCGTCAAAAGCATTACAGGAAAATAATAAAGTTATATTCTTAATCTTAGCAATAATAATAATAATAATGATAATAAAGTTATATCTTTCCAAGTGAATACAGTTTCCCTTTACGCTAACAATATTCTTAAGAGATGTCATTTGTATTATGGATTGTTTTATATAATTTATGCAATAAGAATAGAAAAGCAGTGATTAACCAAAATTAATACTTAATCAAGAAAAACAGTAGTAAGTATTACGAGTTTTATTGCTTAATTAATTTCACTATTATTTGCTTGTTTCGAAAGTAATTACTTTTTCATTGAATGTCTGTACGTAAAGATTCTTTATGCAAACTTATATGTAATGATTTTTTTTAACTAATAAATTATACAGTAATATGACCAACCAATTGCAATCAAGTACTCAATTATACAGAAATTTTTGGACTACTCAGTATCGTCTGATAGACATGTTCAAAGTCCTTAACATAGTACATTATTATTTTCCAGGTGAATAATAACAATGCGTTCCAATTAAAAGTTTGTTGTGTCTAATCTGAAGCATGGGAATAGCTGAATCCCCTCCTAAGGGGATTTTGCGCATGCACTGGATAAAAGGATATCTAATCCTAATCTTTTAAAAATTTTAGCAAACACAGTATTAAAATTTTATCCTATCCAATTCTCCATAATCGGGCGCTGAATACAGACCCTTTGTGTTTTAAGTTCATTAGCTGCAAGACAAGCAAGGATATTGTTGTAAAAGCGTCCAAGGGAGTGCAGATTTGCTGTAATTGGTAACAAAATTTAGAGCATAGAAACAAAATGTAGGATGCAAAGAGTGAAAATCACTCATGCTCCATTTATTTTGAAAGTTCTGACTTGAATCTGGATCATGGTTCTTGGTTTGCTACAGTATTTTTCTCTCATAAAAAATTTAAATTTTAAAAATTAGAATCTTGTTATCGCCTTAAGGTAGAATATTTACTGAGAAATGGGAATATTTTAGCAAAGACATTAATTCACAGTTTAATTATGTTAAAACTGCATATATATATATATATATATTCATAGACATAGCTTTTTTTTTTTTTTTTGAAAGGAATATATTCATAGCCATTTGTGGTACATTTTTAGAAAAAAATACATGACACGATAATACTATCCAAAAATAGGGACGGGTCATTACCAAGAAAAAAATGATCACAATGCACAAGTATTAATGCTCAGATGGCTCTGGCTCTACTTTTTCTTAAAATTTCACTAGGAAAAATTAGTAGAGGTTGGTTGGAAAATGGTTTCCAATTTGAATTCTACTACGTCTCTCTTATAAAAAATTTCCGTCAATGAGTTCTCTCATAAAATTTATATTCTGGTTTAAACCATCTGTTTAATTTCATCTTCCAAACAGGCCCTAATTGTGGATATCAATTGCATCATCTTCAGCTCTTGAAACACCAAATTTTCCAAAAATCCAGGGATGCCAATGTGAGTCACTAATCTAGTTCTTTCAAGAATGATTAGCGTTTTCTTGAGCAAAAAATAATGGTTAGTACTGTTTCATTGGAAAAAGTCAACATATATAAAGGAAATGATGGATTGTAAAGCTCCTTACTAAAAATTTCGAGATGTTCCTTTCTTCTTATTTTTAGACATACTAGTTAAGCCACGTGCTAAATACGTGAGGAAATAACTTTATGAGTTGGGATCCCGCGTCAAAACATATAAATTTTTTAGAAATTAAGTCCATTAATTAGAGCAAGAGGAAAACAAATATTTCAAAAGATCACATCGAAAAAGAATCAAAGTTATATAAGCGTTCTGAAAAAAAAAAATTAAGTAAGAAGATATTTAAAAAGAATCAAAGTTATATAAGAGTTCTAAAAAAAAAAAAAAAAAACTTAAGTAAGAAGATATTTGAAAAGAATAATTTTAATTAAAAGAAAGTATTTCAAAAAAAATATTGTTAAAAATTGTGAAAGTATATTAGAGGAAAAAACAATATATATATATATATATATATATATTAGGCAAAAGAAAAAAAAAGAAAAATTTTAAAAAAGGAAAAAATAAAAATATACTATCTAGGAGATTTAAAAGAAGAAGAAGAAGAAGAAGAAGCAACAAGAAACCAAAAGTGAAATAAAGTGAAATGAATAGAAAGGGTAAAAAAAAACAAAAACAAAACATGAAGGAGTAAAATTAGAGATTGATACATGGCCAAAAGAGAAGTAATTTCTTTGACTCTTTTATGTATGTATGTTTAGACAAAAGAAAAATTAAAAAATGAAAAAAGGGAAAAAAATAAAAATAAAGTGTATAGGAGATTTAGGGGGAAAAAAAGAAAAAGAAGAAGCAACAAGAAACCAAAAGTGAAAAGAATAGAAAAAGTAAAAAACAAAAAAACAAAAAAAACAAAAAAAAAAAAGAAAACATGAAGGAGTAAATTAGAGGTTGACATATGGCCAAAAGAGAAACAACTTTTTTAGCTCTTTTATGTATGTTTAGGTAAAAGAAAAAAAAAGAAAGTTTAAAAAAGAAAAAGAGGAAAAAATAAAAAAAAATTATATAGGAGATTTAAAAAGAAGAAGAAGAAGAAGAAGAAACTAAAATTACCAAAAAAAAAAAAAAACAACAACAACAAAAACAAAAAAATAAAACATGAAGAAGAAAATTAGAGGGTGACACATGGCCAAAAGAGAAGCAACTTCTTTGACTCTTTTATATATGTTTAGATTAGATTAAATGAGTAGTAGTTTCAAGTTCATGTTGATTGCTTTCTTTGTTTTTTTTTTTTTCCCTTGTAAGGAGTCATGAATGCTTCTCGTCCTGTAAATTTTTTTCAAGTTGTTCCCTGATTAAGAGAGTTGCATTTCCTATTAAAAAAAAAAAAGATGTCTTCGGTAGGCCGTCCTACTGGTAAGACCAATTTTCTGACTGTTGGATCTGATTAAAATAAAATGAGATTAAAAACATATGCAGAATAAATAGTTTGTGATGCAAATCTAACGGTTGAAAATGACTAGAAAAAAAATGAAACTACCCGTAATTTTATTTTTCTGGGCTTACGGTAGAAACTCTAAAAAAAAAAAAACGAAAATAAGAGATACTGGGTTCTGTCAAACCTAACAATAGCTCATTTGATACGAGGAACATTGGGTAGAAATTGAAGTAGAAATCGAAATGAACGATTGTACCTAATAAGGGGGAAAAAAGAGACAGTTCGAATTCACAAATGGTGCTATATGTATTCCACAAATAGTGCGTCAATTAACAACCTTTTTTTCTATTTTTCACACACCCTGTTTTAATATTACTAAATTATCCATTAATAAAATTACTTATAATAATGTTTAAAAAAAAAATTACTCATTACACACCCTGCCATTTAAAATACATATTGCCTTCTAAAAATGATTGTCGCCTACTTTTTCAAAGAAATAGTGATGGATTCCAAAGTAAAAAAGCTTCTCCACAAAAAGGAATACTTGTTTTTTCATTCAATATTCTTTAATGGTTGTACCATTAGTTTTGAAAAATTTGTTGGCCCGTTCACTCCACCGATTCGAGTTTAGAATTTAAGTTTTGTTACAGTAAAAAGTTCTCATAAATAATCACATTTAACTTTTTTATTACAGTAAAAAGTTATCATATAAAATCATATCTCAACTCAAATTATAAATTTAAATCAGCGAAGTGAACGAGTAATTTTTTGAGAGAGAGTTTTTTCCTTTCAGTTTATTATTGCTGATCATGTACTAAGAGATCATAACTCGGTACGTTTTTACTGATTGTATCGGCTCGAGTATAATTGATTAATCTACTAGTGTGATTGTCGGTAATTTCTGATCAAAGTGAAAGAAATCATGGAATTAATAATGGGCTGCATAGTTCTTGCATCCCTAATATATAACCACCTATATTTCCAAGTTCTTTCGGAAAAAAAATAATTCTCTTCCATATTTTATTAGGAATTGATTATAAATAAAAAGCAATTTACTCGTTTGCTATAATACAAAATACAAGGGCATCGTGATATTCCCTTCAGAAAAGAAAATAAATAAATAAAAAAGTTGACGGCAAACATCATATATATATATATATATATGAAACCAATATTCATATGGCCAGTTAACGGCAACATAATGTTCTTATTAACTATATTTCTTCCGAAAATATACACACTTAAATTTCATATATATATATAATATATAACTAAAAAAAGATAAGATTTATTAGTAGATGGACTGAAAAAGAAAAAAAGAAAAAATAGTATAATTTAATTATATGAATTTTTTTAAAAAATTTTAAGACGAGTGTAACAAGTAGACTGTGAGTGGTTTAAGAATATGTGTGTGAAAGTAGATTTGAAGTGATTTAGTTGTAATGACTTTTTTGAAATTTTAAGATTAACATAATAAGTAAAATGGGTTGTGGTTTAAAAAAGTATGTATAAAAAATAAGAAAAAAAAGATATCAATAGACGCACCTTTCTACAAATTATGAAATTTGGTGCTCGGTATGTATGCAGTGTTGTATTCTGATCATAGAGAATATTAAACTACTAAAATCTTTCACTCATAACACTCATGCGCGCAGTATGGAATTAAACTAGTACTCGTATTTAGTGCTGGAACTTCGGGTTGGCGGCATGGCCCGAAGCCTAAATTTTTCGGGCTCGAGCGGGCTGGCCCATATGTTGGCTTGTTCAAAGTTTAAATTCGGGCTCGGGCTCAGGCAGCCCGAATTTTGTCACCACGCCGGAGCCTGTCGCCGTGTAGCCACCTCCAACCGCCGGAGTTTTTTTTGAATTCTTCCGGCCAAGCCCGAAGCCCGACCCGCCCGAGCCTGAAATGCCCTAAAAAAGTTCAAAAAAATGACCGTTGTGCCCAACCCGAAAA